CGACTATAATTACTAATAGAGTATTCAGATGTATTTGTTACCATCATAATAAACGTAATATTTGTCGCACCCGCATTTAGAGTTTGAGTAGTTAATTTGCCTCTTATATGAAATAACTGTCAAAGACAAGTCGGAAATTGTTGAAAGGGACGTCTCATCTAGCTAATAATAAGAATTTTATTTATATTTAATTAATTAATATACATATAATTATATATATTTAATTAATATAACTTCTAACTTAAGAATTGTACCTATATTTTAATTGTAAACTAGTTCAAAAGTATGTTATGTACCTACTTATATGTACAGCATTTTCTGTTTAAATTTTTGGGGTATGATAAATAAATAAATGTTGAACTTCGGTCACGCCATAAGGAATGAAAAATACTCATTACTCCAACTAATCATCCAAGGCAAGATTGTTGGCAGAAGAAGTGCTGCGACTAGACTAAAAATTTGGATTGCCCTTATATGTCATCCAACCACCGATGAGAGCCGAACTCGAAAAAAAAAACAACAAATAAATAAACTAATTGTAACTATGGAAATGAGTAGTTCTGTCCGTTTAGTACATTAATTTAGAATAGTGACATCGACAACCGCTAATGAAATATCCGTTCATCATAAACGGAAATTATATTTTCCCCGATAATTATTCAGTAAAAAGTCACAACATTGTTGTGAAATTTTACAAAATAATGTTGTGAAAATGTGAAGTTTTGATATCTCACCACGCAACTCCTAAGTAATATCTTTAATGTAATTGCTATTAATATAGACCCAAAAACTAATTACGGTAATTAACTTGTATACATTAACACTGGGTGATTTTATCTTGTTTACAAGATAAAGGAATTAAAATATTATTAAGTTTATTTTTTAAAATCATTATTACTTGAATTCTCACAGCTGGGAATGTGTTTCTTTTTATGAGGTGCCTATAGCTTACTTTTACCACCGCACCGCTTACCATTGGCAAGAAATTTATCTTCACACCTTAAAACCATAATGATCTCGCACAGTACGGTTTCAGAAAAGTTCCCTCCCGAGAACGCTAAGGTTTTTTTTTAAAAAGGGGGCAAACGAGCATGCGACTCGACCTGATGGTAAGTGACTACCACTGCTTATGAACACCCGCAGCACCAGAGGAATTGCAAATTTATTATATTAATAGCATTCACCTCCATGATTTTTTATACAAATAGTTTTTATTTTTCAAGAAAAAAAAGGTGAGTTTATTTATATTAAAACACAACATTGAACTAATTGAATTAATATTTGAATTTGGAACCTACTACCAGGGTCTGATGATGGAGCTGGAAGGTGGTCATAAGAACTCCGTAATTAAATGTAATCCTACGAGGTTAGGTTCAAGTTGGGCTTTAACTTTTTAGTTCATTTTATTAACAAATAATAAAAGATTGTTTTTAAACAAGGTTTTTTTTTCAGTTTTATTTATTTGAAGTAACGTAAAACTGTCAAAAATAACAAAATTTGTATTAGATCAGCACATTGATTCGATCGATTTAAACGATAGTATAAATAGTCACAAAATTGATATACATAGAATTAGTACGACAGTAAATCCTATGGATTGAAAATAAATGTAAAAAAAAATAACTTTGAATTATCGTCGTAGTCACATAAAATTGCCACAATAAAAATAATTAATACCACATAATACATATCAGTTACGTGGTTTTCAAGCTAGGATACCCTATGTTATGAAGCTTCAGTCAACGAATACCTGAGAGCACAAACCAAGACACCCAAATCCGAGCCAAATACATTTTAAATTGTCCCAACCGGAAATTGAATCCGGAACTTCATTTATGCAAACCGCTACACATGTCCAATTGAAATACAGACAACTCCTATTTTTTAAGCTTTTTAAAAATACTTAAAATTATTTGGATATTCGTTCAGCTGCACACGTACCTTTAAGACGTCAATGAAGTAAATCAGTCGTTTACAGAACAGCGATAAGAGAACTTGGGTCTGTAATGAAAACAGTTCATCTGGAAGAGGAAATGATAAGCTATGACTTATACAGTCTTTACACAGTTGCAGTGGTCAGATAAAATCTATTATGATAAAACGATTAATTATTCTCCATTTTGTTGTACAATTTATAATGCAAATAAAATAAACACAAACATTAGCAAAATATTTGTTTCTTTATACTCTTTTGAATAAGATATAAAAAATAGGGATTACAGTTATTAATTAGAGGCATATTATCTTAGTTAAAGAATTAAAGTACTAGGTCGAATTTGACCTTCAAATCACCAGATACGACGGAACTCGAACCCCCCATATCTCTACGCGTCATATGTAGACTAAGTACATTCTCAATTTATCTAGTACATTTTAAGATTCAAAAATATAGGATTGGTATTTAAGAAAATGGTCCCAATATCTATATTATTTACCATTTAATGAATAACTAAGAAATAAATTATAATTAGATGGCTCCATTACATCAGTGAATGACCCTAATAGACCGCGCTTTTATCATTTTCGTGTTACAAACCCGAGATTAAAATCTAGTTTTACTTTAAAAACGTCATTCTCCATTAGCTGAGATTACTCACGAAGATACCGTTTAACTCTATATAATTATTATACAATACACTGAATTTTTGAAAAATAATTGCAGTATTCTAAAGAATAGGACAAGATCACAGATAAAATTAAAGTACTGTAAATATGTCTTAATACACATACGTTTAAAATATGATTATTTTTTAGACATACCATCATAATGAAATTTTGCTTGGGCACCTATCAACTCTTAGTACTTATGTTTCTTTCGTGAAGTATTTGGTTGGAATATTCCTATAAAATTACTGGTAACTGAGACTGGTAACACTACGTGTGTAGGTGTCATAGGGTTTTCTGATCATATTGCTATTCGTATCTATAGGCGACAGTTACCACGATTTTTACATAGTCGTGCCATCAAAAAATTATATATAACACTCGTGTTTCTATTTTTCTATGTTTGTGTGGCTATTTCGTTATACTACATAATTATATCTAGCACTGTAAAGAGAAGAAAAAAATGATCTTGTTTTTATAAAATTCTAACATTTACTACCTCACATTGATAAAAATAAAAAAAAAAAAAGACAAACTTAAGATGTACCAAGGTACTGGTTTTTACAATAACATGTATTCTTCTATTGTGAAGAATATTTCAAACAAATTACGGTTTTATTTCTCTACAGGGAACAATATAACATATTCGATATTTAAAATCTTTAAAGAAAATATGATATTTATAGGTCTTTCCCCTATCTTTCCAAGGTTCATGTTCCCAACAAACCTTAATAGCAAACTTGACAAAAATATTTAAATGGTATATAAAAAACACAAGTTATTAGTATTTGCTTTTTTACATATGTATTAAAATATTTATATTTATGATTATAATATTAAAGGAAAACTTAAGGTATCGGATATCGTATTTTTCAAAATTAAATTAATTACGTGTATTCCACTTCATTTTTACTATTAAAATGAAGAATGTTGTTCTGTTGAATGAATGCTGTTCGAACACATTACACAAGAGTGCATTTCAAAAATCGAAACATATTTTACGCAATTCAATTTTCGAATTCCGTTCGTGCAAAAGTAAACTGCTATTTCTTATTCACATCAATCTCTCTCGGTAATACGCACATATGGTTTCTAGTATCGTTATTTCACGCTTGGATTTCAAAAAGAGTCATAATTTAAATCAGTAGCTTACATATTTTTATACGTGGAATATAAATTTTAACGTGCCAGCGAAACTGTCGACCCTTATCTAGTAAGTAGCTGGGGTAATAAGGGGGTGTGCATACTCACTGAATTACGTAATACCTTTTCTATTATATGTTTAAGTGACATATATTTGATATTTTATAAAATGATTTGAAAAACAACCCGATATTCGAATAATTTGTTTAATATGCTTTTTTACTTAATAGTAATGTAGTATTTGCTTAATATTTAATGTTCAGTGAAAGAAAACAAAATGGCCCATTACTGTCTGTTTTTAGATCATGTATTTTTTTAATTTGTTTTGTCACAGTCTTTTATAAAATAAGTCTTACATTTTTTTACTAAATTGAGAATATATATACTTCCGTTACAAATACATATAAGATTTTCTACTCCATTCCGCTGTTTACATTAGGTTATGGCCCCAGGACGCTTCCACTATGCCAGGATGAATATACGAGTCTATGGCGCGTTGGCCCATAATCTATTGTAAATCTAAATAGCAGATACACAGCCAAATATAATAACATATTATTTCTAACTCAATTAGTATGACATTACCAATGTGAAACAAGATCTATTTTATAAACTATACATGACAGGCTTGATGGCCAGCATTATAGTCTTACTAGTAATTGAGCATTGTACGTTATTTCAAGAGAATCCTAACTAAAGTAATAAATGTAAAAAAGAGTTAGTTTGTTTTATTTTTCTGTTTGGTAGCTTAACAGCTCAGCAAAACGTCATGTGTACTACTCACTATACGTAATATTTTGGATTAGACTGGATATTATTATTATTTATTTATTACATTACATCTACTAGATGAGCTTTACTGTCTCCCAATATGCTTATACTGACACCGCAGACGAGGTAGCGTATAAAAACTAGATATTTCTATAATATTTGTAATATATGTATATTACGGTTAATCACATAAGAAAATATATTTAAAGCATCATGGTTCGGTATGAGTAATAGCAATACCGCTTTAAAATTTACATATTATATTCCTCTGAACATTAATAGCGGAAAAAAGGATATTTGTATTAATTTCGATCGGGTTTTTCACATGGCAATTATATGAGAGTATTAATTTGGGCCAAAATCCAACATTTTAACAGGACTGAATTATTTTGGATGCCGACTGTACAAATCAAATTTAAAATATTCGATTCATAAAATTTTTAAAGCGTAATAAAATATTCGCGGTTTTTATTTCGCGAGATGTTCACTTTTTAATATTGAAACGTTGGATGGGACGGAATTTTTTATTTTACGTCCATTACATAATAAAACTCTTTAGAAATGTATTTGGTAAGTACCATGTGAGAATTGATATGTTTTATATTTATCATTTTAGACACGTTTCTAATTATAATAGATATATTTATAATGAAAACGGAATATATTATACTATACATAAGAATTGTATTTTAATGTTCAGTTCTAAACAATTGGTATTTGAAAAGATTTGAAAGTTTTTATAATCTGTATCTAAGTATAATTTGGACTATACGAGATAAGGGTCCTGGTAATTTGTAATACATGCATACATAAGTTTAACATCTAGTACAGACACAAGCTCCAATTAATAGTATTGTTAAAGTGTTCTGCATGTTATAGATAGTAAATTCCTTAATAGTAGTGATAACGGTGGTAGAAATAATTAAAAAAATATATAAATATAATTTACTGAAAATAATGAAAGAAAAAATAACGTAGTAACAAATAAGACTCATTTACTAAACAGAATCTCATATGTGTAAATTTTTTCACAAACTTTCGTCACAAATGATACGTAAAAAATCATTTTGATTTTTATCTTCGACCATTACTCGTTTTTTTCCATATACTACACTTATAGTTTATACTTACATAGTATATATAAATGTAACAGTTTATCGGCCTTTGGTTAACACGTAAAAAATATTTAAATCCGTGCACCCACTATACCGTTTTATACTGCAAAAGCAACCCTTTTGACACATGCAAAAGATGTTTTTATAGGATAAAAATCGTACAGCCCATCACTAACTAAAATACCATCCCAAACATCTGGTTTAGTGGTTGTCTTACACCGTGCGTTTCTCAAAGCACTTCCTTTTACGCATAAATATTCTTCGAAAACAAATCTCAACAGCAGTGTTGCCGAACTAATATGACATTGTAACTTTTGAAAAAAGAACACAGCGTTCATAATGAAATGTGACTTCGTTACAATTATCTATCAATTTTCAAAAACAATTGAAGATTTTCAATGCAATGGAAACATGCAATATAATTTTTAAAATATTTACATTATATATTTTCCCGTGTGGTCCCGGCATAGAATAGGCAGCAGCGTCTCTCTTAAATTATCTCCAAAGCCTAACTGCGGTTGCAAATCCGCCTGCCAAGTGTAGCAACTACTGCCAAAACCCCTGACTGATATGATGATGGTGATGACATTATATTTTATAATGTTTAATGTATAAATTTGTTTAGATTAATACTCAATGTATTTCAGATCGTCTTGATTTTAGTTTGTATAGTTCTGTCCTCGAATGCAGTACGTCTCCACAAGATATTCCAATTTATTGATGGCTTCAAATCGGAATACAACCTTAGTGGTTGGCTTCATATCGGCAATGAATATTCCGTTTTCATTAAAGTACCAAATCCTCATGATAAATATATTACATATGAATTATATGAGTCGAAGTATGTACACGATTTAGGGTCGTACAAGCCTAAAATGTTGGCTGTTTCAAAAATACCAGTGGAGTATCTAAAGGAACAACTTAAAATGTATAGAAAAGAATTGTATAAAGCGAAGTATGTTGATAGTAATACAGTACCTGGCACTCAATTAAAGACGTTAAGAGATTGGCAAATAGATCAGGCCTTAGAAAACAGTGGAGGGAAGAGTTTTGGTAATATAGTACCTGTATTAAGAACTGTATTGTGATTGTAAATAATATACAATTTGTTATAATAAAAATAAAAGAGAAATCTATTCTGGAATTACTTGACTTCAGAAAATATATCTATCTATGTGTAAGAATATGTGTATACATAACTCACAAACATGAAGAGAGAAAGAGAGAGAGAGAGAGAATTGTCTCTTTCGTTTTGTTTCGATTCTAGTCTGCTATACTTTTGGTAGTATTATATTGTATATACAATATATATCCTTTTAATGTTACACATACAAAAGCTTGTAAGAATGGATGGATATATGAATGTTTTCTGCTCTTTCATACAAAAACTACTGAATAAATTTGAATGATATTTGGTACACCGATAGGTTATGTCCTAACTTAGCACAAAGAATACTGTTCATACTGATTTAAACGGGTATAACCGCAGAATATGGCTAGTGTATTATAATTCCGAAGTTTACATTGGACAAGTTACACAACCACACTAACAAAATTGCAAGAGTTCGTTCATTGAAAATGAGTGAAATGAATATTAAAGTTTATAAGTTTTGTCGATTTATGGCCACAACTTTAATAATGTACGGTTTTTTTTTACCACTGAGGTGGCAAACAAGCATATGGACCACCTGATAGTAAGCTATTACTGTAGCTTATGAACAGCTGCAATACCAAGGACATTTCGAGCGCTTTGCTGATCCTAAAAAAATCTCTTTATCCTTTCTTTGAAAACCCCCATGCTGTAGTCTCTTGTAAAAAACCTCGACAGAGAGCTCATTCCATAATTTGAGCATTCGTAGTAAATACGGTATTATGTATCTATAACAATAACACAATTAAGACGTACCAAACGACACCTCATTTAATAATATTAGTAAAGCCATTTTATCTCTTGCACTGATCTAACACGTTCCGTTCCCCTATTTGCTTCTTACGACATCTGGAGACGGAAAGAAGTAATGACACATCGTATTCTCAATCTGTCACCATACGAATAAACGTAGGTAAAATAATACATATTATAGCTTGGCTATAGTTAGAACTTATTTCAGATAATATTATATTATGTACTATACTTATATAACTGTATCGTTACATTTATTAATTGTCTTGCTAATCCCCTATATTGTATAATGTAAATATACTTATTAATTCGTTCGTTCAATATATTAAGGTTTCTTCAGAGTGGGCAACACGCACGTGATACTTCTAGTGTTGCAGGCGTCGATAGGCTACAGTGACTGTTGGACGACCATCAGACGGGCATTATAAAATACCCAGGATTATAAATCTAAATTTAGTAACAAAGAACGCTATTGAAAAATGCTCTTGACCCGATGTAAGGAAACAGAATGTTAGTTATCATAGCGCGTTCTCCGCTTAAATTTTTTATTTATTATTATATATTTTTTTATTTAATTTATAATAATATAATAGTATAGTAAGTAAGTAATAATATAATATAGTATAGATACTTTTTATTGTTTCCTCCAAAAGATTACAATAGTAAACTTATTATAGATATAAACAATTACAAGAAATAATCACAATGAGAAAACAATAGGCGACCTCATCGCTAAAAGTGATATCTTCCATGGCTCCTCTATGATATATGGCATTGGATAGAGCTGGCTGGAATAAAATGCATGAATGATGAATGATGAAATGAAAAGGGAGTAAAATCGTACGATATCCTAACGTGCACGGTAAAATAAAAGCCGTATTGTGGGTAAATAATTAATGGTGACGTAACGTGACAACACCAATTGAGAGACTAGATGAAGACGAGGAAATAGAGAGCGTGTAATTGGACTCGGCTTTAGCTTATTAGTTACACATAAGTTAAATTGTATCTGAAACAGAGATTGGAAGTTTCTATATCTTTACGCCGCATTCTGTGTGGGGTAGATAGAAAGAATAGAGTGCCATCGGTCTCTGTTTTTATACAATCATATACATAAAACCTTTATGTAACTAGGCGTTTCCCGCAGCTTTGCCCATCTAAATCAATATATAAAAAGTGTGTTCAAATGTAAGCTGCCTGTGTCTCAAATTTCATTCAAAGTACTAAACATACAAAGTTCTAAATATACTTTACAAATTTTGATATTTCGATAAGTTACTCGCCTTAAGATACAGTTATATATATATATAAATATCTTCTCCTATTTTTGCACATCCGAGTAGGATACTTTTTGTAACGATTCACGCAGACAAAGCTTCAGAAAATAGATTACTATCTATTTCCCGTTAATATAATTACTAAAATTAAATAAAAAATATATAAAAGATATATTACATAAATTACTAAATAATTTATGTAATATATCTCTCTTTGATCGTTTGTAGAAACGTTTATCTAAGTGTAAAATATAATTATAATTATTTATACAAAATTAAATTTTCAAGCCGCGGCCAAATTGGACTCTGTACATATTAACCTATTCCGCGCAGCACGCATAATATTAATATAAAATACGCTTTACAAGATGCTTATCAAAACAATTTTAACATTATTGTGTAATATAGTTTATGCGACTATAAAAGCTTGAAATTGGAAATATATTTTGCTTACATATTATATTTTACTTATAACGTAACATGGTAGTCGATAACACTGAATTTGAAACTTTTTATTACATATCGTCATATGATAAATTTTATATAATATTTAAAACGTTGTCAGAAAACTAAATCGCTGTTTAATCGCATTTAATAATATTTGCTTAATCTATATAAATAAGAACAAATCCCTTAATGTGTTGCGAAGTGTAAATCTCCAGAACGACTCGACAAATATGAGTATTTTTTTTTTAATATTCGTTTAAATCCGAGGAGCATTCTTATCGAGAGAAAAATTGGAAAAATTTCCAAAGAGAAAGTAAATATCACATTTTTCTTTTTCCCACATAAAATGTTCCTGGTTGCTAATTCAAACAATTTCTGTCTATTATTTTTTGACAAAATGACATTTGTCAAGTTAGCTAGCATATAAAAATAGCTGCTTGCCCCGACTTCGCACGAGTATATTAATAATTTTTCGGAAGTTTCGAATATTTTCTTTTATGCAGAATGAATTGTTACGACGAGGTTGTAGCGACAAAAAAATGTATCTACAACTGTCTAACAATTAATGTGAGATGATGTTATAATGATAAAGTCATTTTGAAATGACAGAATTTTCAAATTTACTATTTATAATTACTCCTCTCCATCCTAAGGTTGCCTGGAAGAGATTGCTTTTAACGATAAGGTCGCCTACTGTTTTCTCACTGTGATCAATTCTTATAATTGTTTATATCTATAATAAGTTTACTGTTTTAATTTTCTTAGAGTAACAATAAAGAGTAAACATCTATCTATGTACTAAAATTTAGTAACTAAATAACAAACAAATAAAATATATAAAATTTTCAAACATACCTTCAAGTAACAATTACAAATACAACTAAAAAAAATATTAGCCAAACAAGTGCAGCCATTCTGAAGTGATGCGCTTACTTACATTCGGCATTTGATTTTATTTATGTAGATAAATCGCATTACTAATATGAGATTGGCTGATAGAAATCCTTATCAGCGTAAATTCGTTCATGTGTACATTTTTCTTTGCATCTAATATATATTTTCTTTTCAACCGACTTTAAAAAGAAGAAAGTTCTTAAATCGACTGTATTTTTTATGTTTTTTACCTCTATACTCCGTCAATTGTAATATTTTTTGGAATATTTTTTATTTGAAAGATTTTTTTTAATTTTATCAAAATTAGTTTAGTAGTTTAGTTTTTAAATCAAAATCACTGGTTTTAATAATATTGAAGTCGGTCTTTTTTTTTTGTGCAAACAAAATCTTAAATTATTAATATTATGTATGTTCATTAGACCTTATTCTTAGTATATACTTGCCTTATCCTTAGTACCTGACCTTATAAATAGTAATATCTTGGAAATTTATAAGAAATTATATTATGTATAGGCGAACAGTCAACATAATCCATCAGGTGGGCCATCAACATGTTTTCTAAGTAACATAAAATATACGAATAATAATAAAAATTAAATCTCTCAAGTTTTATTTTTCATTTCTATACACTTTTTATTCTAACAGATCATTTTACAACGTAACCCTTGGTGCGGCCACTGCCTTCATTATAGGGTAATTTATTGCCTGGAGAGAAGGGTTGGTCACCATCATCCCATGTTATGGGGAAAAAGGATCGGTGCATCATTGTGCTACGTAATTCAGTATCATGATGTTCATTTTACGACTTATGACTAATGTATCGTTAAATTGACTACTTAGGAACGAAGTAGTATTAATGGATTTAAGGTATATACATATTATACACATTTATATTCATATATATATGAAAGTTTGAAAGATATGTATATTATTTATTGTATTCTTTCCATAAGACCACATTTGTATTTTATAAGCGTTATATATATTTATGTTTTGTATTAGTCTTTAAATAGTAAAATGAAGAATAAATGAATAAATAAATATTATAATATAGCTGACATTGATGCTCCTTTCCACTTTGGGTTTGCTAGAAGGAAACTCTATCAGAGTTAAGCTCGCCTTTGTACTTTTGTTTACCTCTGTCATATTTTTATAACTAATGTGTACAATAAAGTATTACATAAATAAATAATATTCAGGAGTATAATATATATTAGAGATATTAGAAGCAGTTGTGTTTGCATGGCTGTGTTTCGGTTTGAAGGGTGGGATATGGCGTTAATTTACAGGGTACAGAGAAATAACACCTGAGTCCTCAGGAATGACAACGCATGGGAGTATCATGGGCGAAACAGTATACTCTGTTATGTCCATGGTACTGCTCATGTCTATAGGCGACGGTTACCACTTTCCATCAGTTGGGCCGGCAGCTTGTTTGTCATTCTAAGTCGTATAAAAAAAAATAGAGATATACGAATATAATATTAGAGATATTACGACTAACTCTAAGTAATGTGTCGTTGAAATTACTACTTAGAAATAGGCACAGGTAATAGCGATATCGCTCGGATATCTATATATTGGGTTCTGGAGATTTT